GGACAGAGAACACATCCATCACAGCAGCTGAGGGATGGGAACACAAGCACTTCCCCCTGCTGGGTTTTGGAAAGAAGACAGCTAAGGCAAGGTTTCAAATCATCTGTCCAGGCTCTGAATTACCCAGAGCCCCCCTTGTCTGCACATCCCTGTCACCAGAGATTAGGCAAGTGAAGGCAGCAGCCAGAGGCTGCCGGCGCCTGTCAGGCTGAGTCTCAGTGAGCAGAACACGACTGTCACGACAGCACTCACTGCACAGCTGAGCTCCAGCTGAACCAGCACACAGAGCCAAAGCCCTTCATCCCATCCATACCCTCACGCCTGGCCAGGACAGCAGCCCTACGCCAGCCCCAACGCAGCGCTGTGTCAGAGATCCACACATCTGGTGCACAAACACAGCAACTTCAAAAAAAAACCCAGGGATTTGCTTCTCAGATCAATTAAAAAAAAAAGACAACAACAAAAAAAAGCAGATCTTGGAGAATCTTTTAAGTCTTAAAACATGAACAGCTCCAGAGGAATGCGTTGGCCCTATCTCACTAAAGGAAGCCCACAACAAAGACAAGGGAAAGAACTCAGTTGCAAGCAGATAGCAGCTCATATTCCTTGGCTCAGGGCCCCGTGGCTGCGGCCAACACCTATTTATGATGCTCCAGACAGGGAGAAGCTGCAGCAAGCCAAGGCTGCTGCTCTGCACCAGACAGGACATCACCGCCCTGGCACAGCACGCAGGTACAGCGTGCTCCCTGCCCTCAGGAGGGCACTGCAGATGTCACACACTCCAGCATCCCCCTTCATAAGAACGCTCCAGAAGGCAGTACATCGATCACTGAAGGCAGTACAAATGCCAGGTAAATGCTTTCTGCATTTCAAAGCAAATGCCACTGATGAACCGTGTAACTGCGTGCACTGGAGAACAGGAGTTGCTTTGTTTTGCCAGCTTCAGCAGGAGCATTATGTCAGTTCCACACTTCCTCACCTATTCTTCTGTACTCCCCAGGGTGTATGAACATAAACATCACTGCACACCAAGCTGCTTTTTCTACACTGTTTCCACTTGTACAGCAAGGGAAAAAAACCCTTCATCACAGTGCTACGTGCAATTTGATCACTCTCTGCTAGCAAAACATTTCACTTGCAGTTCCAACTTTCCTCCTCAGCACTTGTTCTACCATTTCCTGGTAATTTCAGTTCACGTCAGATGAAATTTGTTCGGACGCAGGGAACAGCTATGACTTTGGAAGCCCATCTCATGTAATGATCCAGCTGAGCAGGTTCCACACAAGCCAGCCGCCCACGACACCGGGAGCTTTCAGCTCTGCTGAATTCCACCCCAGGACAGAGGAGATGTCATTTAGCACAGCGAATGGAAGCGAGGGCAGCTATTACCATGGAGATGCTGAATCAGATACGTACTAACGATGCCTCTTCCACCCTCCCTTTGAGAGAGGCATTCATCTGAAATAACACAGAAGACAGGCAGAGACTTCTTCCCACATGGGTGAAGATATGGACTTCAGACCAGTGCTGCTGTTCAGAGGGCTGTTTGTCTGGCTCTAGGGATCCATTCTCACCGAGGATTTCCAGGCTACTCTGCCTGTATCAGGCACTGGACCCACCCTCAGAGCATCCCAGCAGCATCCCTGTTCCTGTAACAACCCCAGGAGAGAGTGGGAGATCGCTGCGGCATGGGAGCAAACACTAAATTACATGAGAACACTAAAAATGCAGGGAAACAGCACCCAGACCTGCATGTTTACCTCTGCAAGAGCAGACAGACTTCTGTGAGTGACTAGCTTTACCCCAGAACACCTCACAGCCAACAGACACTGATCAAGATGGACCAGGGTCAAGGGCAGCACAGTGATGGCAGCAGGAGCAGACACAGAGGTGTCCTGAACAGTGCTGGGCCTGTGTGCTTACCTGACCTCTGCTTCAGAGGAGGGGTTCCTGCACTTTGCTCAGCTCAAGGGCACAGTGGCAAATTTCCAGAGTCTATAAGCTGCTTTTAACTGGAGGACACAGAGCAGATAGCTCTCTGCTGTCAATACAGTGACCAGAGATCAGGTCAGCAGGGCCAGGCACTGCAGGTACCACTCTGCTTTGCTAAGGCAGACGGAGCTGAGCATGCTGCAAACCAGATGTTCAAATACCTGCAAAGCCTTGGCCGCACATCCAGCTATCTGCTGGCTGCTCAGGACTGCAATCAGAAGACTGCAGTGCTGGAGACAGGCACGGTTCTGTACACAAAACACAAGCATTAAGTTTAGAAATGGAAACACACAGCCAGCACCTGCAAAATATCAGAACAGATGACAAAGAGTGCTCCTGTGCCTCGCCATGGCAGCACTGAGCCAAGGCAGGGGCAGGACTGGCATCAGGAATGGCTCACAGAAGCCTCCCAGCCACAGCAGACGTAGGATGAGGGAAATAGGAAGCATCTCAGCGGTAATTGCAGAACCACAGAGCAGTCTCTCGTGGTGAGATGTGCTTGTTATTCAGCAGACCCAGCTGGACCCTGTTTGTGGACCCAGGAGCAGTCCCAGGATATCAGCGTCAAGGCAGAAAACAAGAAAAACTTGCTAACCTAGGCTCAGGCCAGAACTGCATGCACATTTCACAACACAAGCAACAATCCTGACTGCTCCCCATCCTTCATGGGAGCAACTACATCGAGCTCCCAAGCCACACCAATACTATTTTGGGATGGTTGTATGGACAGGGATCATTTTAATCTCTGCCATTTCATGGTTCAACTCACAGATCACCGAGGATCTTTTTTGCTAAACACCTTTGCCAAATTCACCGCTGAACAGTTTGGTCCTGTTCTCATGTCTGCACTTCAAAGACAAAATGGGTGGACTGGAGAGGATTCAGAAAGCTCTGTGAGAATATGAAAGCTTGAAAACTGGACTCAAAATTAAAATGTAGTGCCTAAAGAAGCCCAATCCATTCATTCTGTCATTGAGATGTTCGTGACATTAATCCTAGCACAGCAAGAGTACTCCACAGAGTAGGAGACTGCAACAATCTGCTCGTTAGGAAAAAGCCAAACCAACTGCAAAGGTGACAAACACACCAATCACAGAATCATAGGGGTTGGAAGGGACCTCTAGAGATCATCGAGACCAACCCCCGAACACCTATATTAAATAAAAATGCCATATTTGAGCCCAAATGCGTGGATTTAACACCGATCACTGAGCAACGACCTCCAGTCTGTGTCTCACTGCAAAACGCAGATGATTGTATCACCATCATTAATTTGAAACATGTAAAGCCCAGGAGAGCATCCCTGCGGAGCACTGAGGCACTCACACCACAACCAAGCACTCTCACAGGCTCCTCATCAGCTGCAGGCTTCTGCTAAGAGCCACTCCTTGCTGCAAGCACAGACTTCTGCTGAGCCTGCCAGCCCTGCTACAGCACCAGTGACATGTAATGTATTTAGGTTTCACAGCTGTTTTATAAACTATGGAGGTCCGAAGCTAAACCAGATGTTCTCCCCCTCAATGGTCGGTGTGCAATGGAGCAAAACGAGGCATTGCAGTGCGGCGTTCGGCAACTGGAGATGAGCAATGCTGTGACAGAGGAAGGTCAGGAGAGGCACTGCAGCTCAGGCAGTTCCAGTACCTGCTTTGTGAGTCTTATTGCTCCTTGCCAGTCCCACCTCCCTGGTGCTATTGTGCTTCAGAACATCCTGTGGCAATGTGTGCCACAGTCTAATGGTACGTTGTGTGAAAAAGCACTTCCGTCTGTTTATTTTAGACCTGCTGCGTCATAATTTCCTCTAAGAAATAGAAAACTGACGTACCCTGCTTGCTTTCTCTGACCTCTCCACGACTTCACACACTTGTCTCGCATTTCCCACCTGCCTGTGTCCCCCTGGGGTGAGGAAACACGGGCTGAGCTCCCCCCTGCGTGATGGGTGAACCAGAGATGCCTGCAGCACCCGGCACACAAGCTGCCAATGCAGCAGCATGACAAAGTTTCCAGCTTTGCTCTCTGCACCTTTTAAGCAATTCCAAAACACCCATTTTAGACCCTGGTGAGGCACTGAAGCGTTGTTTCAGGAGAAGCCACTGCTGACACGTTCCCAGCTCCTTCTTCAGCACTGAGAACCGATGCAGAGTCAATTGCTGCAGTATTTGGAGCCTTCATTAAACCCACTGCCACCATGTGAGCGCCCAGCAGCACCTGGGCTCTCTCTGCATCCTCCCACAGCCGTGTTCATCCACCCTAAATAATTCAGTGCTTCCTTTCCTTCTCCATAACACCACATCCAGAAAGAGGAACAGATGACTGCGAACCTCCACAATAACCACTCCCCACTGGCAGCACCATGCTCCCCTTGCCCTTCACGTGTCACTTTTTCACTGATTATTGACCCCATGGAGGGCTGCTGCCCCACAGCCTTTTTTTTTTTTTTTTTTTTTTGGAGGGGTGGGAGGGAAGTGAAGCAGGGCTGTGTCAGACGTTGATAACCAAACACAGCACTCCATCAGCACAGGACCTGCTCTTGAAGGCCTGGAGCGAGCAGGAACCAAAGAAGAGCACAATAAACCTCTAAGAAATTGAGATCCTCTCCCCCTCCAGCCGGCAAGGCAGCACGGCGATGCTTTCCTCCGCTCCCCTCCCACAATCTCCACGTTTCAGCACAGCCCCACGAGAAGGCCCTGCCACACCTCGCTGCCCCCGTGGGTCGGTGAGGGTCCTCCCCACTCCACAGCCAGCCCACAGCCACGGCCAGCCCTCAGCCGGAGCCCCGCAGCGCTGGAGCGGCTCTGCCTTCACTTCACAACCGAGGACGAGGCGTGGAGGCCCGACCGCCCCCCCCCCCACCCGCTGTTCCCCCCGCCCCACGGCGGCTTCCCAGCCGCAGGCAGGCCCCAGAGGAGGCTTCGGAGCCCGGCAACCTGCTGGCCGGAGCCCCCCGCGCCGCTCCCGGCTCACTCCTGCCGTTCAACCCGGCGCGGCCTTACCCGGGGCGCTGAGGGAAAATGGAGGCCTCGGCGGCAGCGGTGGAAGCGAACGAGGAGGGTGGTGGGAGGAGGAGAAGGAGGGGGGTGGAGCAGACGAGTTGCGATCTCCGGGCGGGCAGAGCGGCGCCACTTCCGCTTCCGGTGGCGACCGTCGCGGGGATGCGGCGGGGCCCGGTGCCAGTGGTGGCCTTCGTGCTGGCGCTGGGCGCGGCGGCGCGGGGTGGCGGTTCCGGGCCTGTAACGTGCGGTTCGGTGGTGAAGCTGCTCAACGTGCGGCACAACGTTCGGCTGCATTCGCACGATGTGCGCTACGGCTCCGGTAATGGCTTTCGTTCCTCCCCCTCTCGGTATAGCGGGGTCTCGTTGCAGATCCTGAGCCTGATCGCCGTTCTTGTCTCCCGCAGGCAGCGGGCAGCAGTCGGTGACCGGCGTGTCGGCGGCGGATGATGGGAACAGCTACTGGAGGGTGCGAGGCCGCACGGCCGCTGTGTGTGAGCGGGGCCAGCCGGTGCGCTGCGGGCAGGCCATCCGCCTCACGCACCTGGGCACCGGCCGCAACCTGCACAGCCACAACTTCGTCTCCCCGCTCTCTGGCAACCAGGTACCGGCACGGCCCTGCGCCCCCCTGGGAGCAGCCCTCGTGTGCCATACCCGAAATGGGCACATCATGTATCCAGGGTCTGCAGGCTCGGCCTGTTCTCTGGTCCCTGCCAGATCTTCCAGGACATACTGAGACCCTGCTGGGTGCTCCGGTCCCTGCCGGGTCCCTCTTGTTGCTATCGGGTCCCTACTAGGTCTTCCACAGTCCCTGCCAGGCCCATACTGGGTCACCCAGGCTCTGTGGTGTCTCACTTGTTGCCATCTACTCTCTTAAGTCCCTACCAGCCCCATCTAGTCCCCCAGCCAACCCCCATTTGTCACCTCAAGATCTCAGACCTACAAGGTTCTCCCAGGCCAAAACAGGTCCCTGTCAGCCCAATCTTGTCCCCCAGCCGTTTTTCCCAGTCCTCATTCCCATCCTATCCCTGTCTTGGCCTCTAGGGCCAGCCACACATTCTACCTCCCCCATGTCATGTCATCCCCCACGCAAGGTCAACATCCTGTGGCACCTTTGGGACACCTGCATAGCTCTGTGTTAATGAGATTGCTAACGAATCAGCACTCAAAACTTGCAGCCTGTAAATCTGAGCACCCCCAGAGAGCTGTCCCTTCTCTGTCCCTCTGACACAAAGGTGATACAAAGACCCGAACCCTAAAACTGAGTTGTTTTGTTTTTTCCTCCAGGAGGTGAGCGCCTTCGGGGAGGATGGCGAGGGCGACTACCTGGACGACTGGACGGTGCTGTGCAGTGGGACCTACTGGGCACGGGACAGCGAGGTTCGCTTCCAGCACACCTCCACCGACGTCTTCCTCTCGGTGACAGGCGAGCAGTATGGGCGGCCCATCAACGGGCAGAGGGAGGTGCACGGCATGGCCACCTCCAGCCAGAATAACTACTGGAAGGTGATGGAAGGCATCTTCATGCAGCCCGGAGAGGTCTTCAAAGCGGAGCAGCACCACGTTGAGTTGTGACAGACGGACTGATGCGTTTGGGGCTGCTTGGGGCGGGGGTGGCCCCTGTCCACATGCGGTTGTGACGCGCGCTGGGATTTGGAGCCCAACATCCTGAATCCAACACAAAGCTGATGGTGGTGTTCTGAATTTGACACTTTGTGTTTGGGATCCAATGCAAAGCAGATCCCAGAATGCTGAATCAACATAAAGCTGATCCCAAATCCAGCACAAAGCTGATCCCAAAATCCTGAATCCAGTACACAGCTCATCCCGACACCCCAAATCCAACATCCTGAATCCAACATAAAGGTGATCCCAGAATTCCAAATCCAACACCAAAGCTGATGATTCCAGTGTCCTAAATTTGACACTAAGCAGATTCCATCTTCCCACATCCAGCACAAGGTCAATCCCAAATCCCAGCTCAGACAAGTAGCAGAGCTCAGTGCCCCAAATCCAACAGGAGTCAGATCACAGAACCTCAGATCCAAGCACCCAAAGTCCAATGCAAAGCAGATCCAAGCACCCCAAATCCAACACAGAGCAGATCCCAGCATCCCAAATCAGATCCCAAAGTCCCATTTGGACACAGATCCGAGAACCCCCAAATAAATCACGTCCCAAAGACCAGCCGGGACTCACAGCAGCTCCTTGCTCCCCAGAGCAGCACCCACACTCGCCAGCTGTAATCTGTTTATCTCCTTCTCCCCTGACCCGGTTCGGGGTTCCCTCCTCGGGGATCTGAGCCCCTTCCCTTCATGCGGCCTCGCTGGGTGGCGATGCGCTTTCCCACCGCGGCGCAGAGAGATGTTATGCCACTCCGAGCCGCTAGGGGGAGCTACCGCCGAAACTCCGGACCGGCCCCGCCCCTCCGCTCCCAACCGTCACTCCGGGCCCGGCAGGCGGCTCTGCCCCCGCTGAGCGGACGGCGGCGGCCGGGCCCTGGGGGCCACCATGCTGCTGCCGCCGGGCCTGCCGCTGCCGCTGTCAGCCGTTCTGCTCGGCCTCGGGCTCGTCTTGCTGCTCGCCGGGCTGCTGGCGCGGTCAGGGCCTGGGGGCGGGTCGCCGGGGCCGGGGGAGGGGCAAGGGAAGAGGTGGTGGGGGGCTGTAGGGGCGGCTGTGGGTCTGGGTGTGGGGGTGTCAGGGGGTGTAAGTGGGGGTGTGGGGTGCAGAGGGGTCTGTAGTTGGGGATGTGGGGTGTAGAGGGGACTGTAGGTGTGGGTATGTTGCATAGAGGGGTCTGTAGGTGCGGGCGTTGGGTGTAGAGGTCTGGATGTGGGGTGTAGGGGGGTCCAGAGGGGTCTCTGAAGGCCCCTAGGGATGGCTGGGGAAGCGCCAGGGTACTGGGGGAGAGGTGTCAGGCTGAAGGAGGTTGGGGTGGAGGCTGACAGGGCATTAGGAGCTTATAGGAGTCAAGGGATCTCGCAGGGATGGACATAGGGTGATGGGGAAGTCAGAATGGATCTCCAACGATATGGCGGGTGTTTGGGCTTTAGGGAGCCCCTGTAGTTCAGGGACTCATGCTGTAGAGCTTGGAGGGAAATGTCAAAGGTGGAGGGTGTTGTGTGAGGGGGATACAGTCAGGTATGGGGGTTTTGTGGTGCTTCTCTCCAGATCTGGGGGGATCTCGTGGGCTGGATGTCGGGAGAAAGGAGGATTTGGAGAACAGGGCTTGGGGTGGAGGCTGAGGGACCCACAGACATGAGGGTCTCTGGGACAGTGCAGGTGGTAGGAAGGGAGAAGATGTGTGGCTCAGGACAGCAGAGGTGGACCCTGTCCCTTTGCATATACCCACAGGTGGCTGGCATGCCGCCTGGCCATTACCTGGTGCCGGCAGAAGCTGCAGGCAGAGCTGAAGATTGGCTCCTTCGGCTTCTTCTGGGCACAGAACATCAGCCTCAAGTTCCAGCAGGAGCAGCAGACAGTGGTGGGTACCTGTGGAGGAGTCACAACTGGGTGAAGGTGGGATGGATGCAGTCCTTTTCAGGCTGGCAGCGAGTCTCTGCAGCCAAGCTGCTGTCACACAGCCCCAGGCCTGCAGCCCTTTCTCCCTTGGCCGAATGCAGGGGTTTTTGAGAGCTCCCCACATCATGTTGGGCAACGGGAGTGTAATGAAAGCGTTGGGGTGAGCTAATTTTTCACTCACCTGCTTTTATGTTCTTGCAGGAAATTGACAACATCTGGATCTCCAGTAAACTGAGCCGTGAGCTCCCGTATGTACCCATGCCCCAGCTCCTTCTCTGCTCTCCTGAGGGGGGTCTGTCTCACCTCTGGTCCTGCTGACTGCCTCTGCACCTTTCTGTGCTGCCCATTTCCCACGGCCTACTCTGCAGGAGTGAATCATTCTCCTTTGGGTGTCTCATAGAGGCACCCCTGGGGCTGGATGTGTAGGCCCTCGTAAAGGGGTTGCTTGTGCTGGTTCTCCTGCAGACGCTACTTTGAGCTGTGTTTTGGTGAAGTGCGAATCCGCACAGATCTGCTGAAGAGCCATGGGCTCCAGCCATCCTTCCCTGAGGCTCCCAAAGAAGCTGATGATGGCAAGAACAAAGCAGACCTGGCCCTTAAATCATCCTTGCTGCGGCTCCTTAGCCAGGTGAGCTCTGGCTCCATGAGAGGGTGTTGCAGACTGTGCTGCTGTTGCATAGCTCTCACCATACTGCCTTCCACCAGCTCTTTTCCATCCACATGGACTCCATCAACATCATGGTTCTACATGTGGCCACCTCAGAGTCTCTGTGGCACATCCAGGCCAGCAAGACACGTCTTCTCCTCAATGGTGATGGGAAGAGGTAATGCTGTGTTCATGCCCTTTATCCCACCAAAAAAGGGAGGGAAGGGGCCTGGTTTTGCAGAGCCTTCAGCTTCAGTCTTCTCTCTGCTCTCCCCAGCCTGAAGTGTGAGGTGAACCTGACGAAGGTCAGCAGCAAAGTGCTGCGGAGCAGCCAGCAGGTGAGTATTGGGGAAGGGAGAAATTCAGTGGGCCTGGGCACCAGTGTTGAGGCTGGATGATGCTGAATGTCCTGCAAGGCTCTCAGCTCCATGCTGCGCCCAGTGCATTATCTGCAGCCTCCATCAGCAGGGAGCTGAGTGACTCCCGGTGTATTCCTTGCCCATGTCCCTACACAGGATGACACATGCCTGGCAGAGCTGGCCCTGGCACTCTCCATCTCACTGGAGATCAGCAGCAAGCAGCGACTGGTGGGCGTCACGCTGGGTGTCCGGACCCTGCAGGCAGAGCTGCACGAGGGGCTTTTCTGCAGCCCTCTGTTGCACCGTGTGACAGCCAGAGCCCCTCAGCCTAGCCCAGGTCAGGGACAGGAACAGGGCTGGCAGTCCCCTCACTTCCACTGCAGCCAGAGGGATTTGGCTGTGCTATCACTGCTTCCCAGTGCAGGGAGTGGGAGTCTGGGGGAGAGCCTTTCCATGACTTGGTGTTTCCTGCTCCAGACTCAGCAGAGTCCCTGAAATCCTCATCCCTGCTGAGCAGGGACACACTGCAGCTCATCCCCAGGAGGATGGAGGTGAAGCTGGAGAGCACCAGCGTGGTGCTGTCTATGAACAGCCAGAAGAGGTAAGGAGATGGTTCTACTAGCCGTGATCAGTGCAGGGGACATGGTCCTGGGAATAGCTGTGCCACTTTCTGCTTGTCCTTTGCTCTGCCTAACTGCAGAGAGAAAATCCCAGAGGGAAGGACTGAGAGCAGTCTGGGGCTGTGGGCTCTTGGGGAAGAAAGTAGGCAGGGAATCTGGTTCTCCAGCACGATAGCGTGAGGGGATATACTGCTGGTGTAATTCTGGGGTAGTGTTGGGCTGGGCTGCAGCTGCATTGTGGGCTGTGCTTTGTCCATGACAGCGTGCTAGTCAGCTGGGATAGGAGATGTAGGAGATTGAGGTCATGATGGTGCAGATCTCTCCTGGCAGTGGCCCTCTGCTTCCCCTAGGCACCTCACCTGGAGCCTGAAGCTGCTGCAGTTTCTATATCAGCGTGAAGAGGAGCAGATCCCACTGCGCAACTTCACACCCACCTCAGATCTGGACCAAATGAGTGTAGACCTCCATCTGGAGGGCAAGTAGCCAGGAGAGAACCTATGGTGCGAGGCTGCTGACACTTCTGTCCAGCACCCCTCACTTTTGCTCCTCTCCCTCCTCAGATGGCCTTCTCCTGTCCCAGAGCCGCCAGCGCATTGTGTGCCTCAACTCCCTGAAGACCAGCGTGCAGGTAAGCAGATGCTGGACGTGCTCCTGTCCCCTGGAGGGGCTGATTTGACTCCAGGCATGAGCTTGCTGCCACCCTGTGCTCTCCCTGCCCTAGGTCACAGCCATTGACCTCTCAGCTGCTGTGCTACTCAACACCTGCATCATCCACTACCGCCACCAAGAGTTTTCGCACTGGCTGGGCCTGTTGACACAGGAACACAGGCAGCATTCAGCACCTGTCCCCAGCCAAGGGCACAAGGGAAGGTAAACTCAGCTTCAGCTGCTGGTTTTGCAGCTTGTTCCCTCTTAGCTGCTGCTTTCTGGCAGGGTGCCTGGGCATACAGCGCCTTCTCTGCCCTGCACACAGCCTATGGATCAGGGAGGCTGATGTGGAGTGTGGACCCTACAGGGAGGGTGTCCCTTGGAGCCTGTTCCTTGGCACTCAGGACCCCTGTAATGCCCCATCCCTTCTTGTCCTCTATAGGAACTATCCCCAAATCATAGCACCCGTCATACTGAGTGCCTCGCTGTCCAATGTCAATGTGTCGGTGCAACTGGGGGATACTCCACCCTTTGCCTTGGGCTTCAACTCCATCTCTGCAGGTAAGGGTTGGCTCCAGGGTGCTTGCTGAGCTCTTCTTGTGGGGTTGGTGGAGAAGTACTGGGGATGATCATCATCCTGAGCCTATGGCATGGGAATGGGGAAAACTTTACTGTGTCTGAGTTGTCTGTTTGGGGGCTGCCAAGCAGGCAGCAGCAAGCCCTGCCTGTACTCACCTTCTGTGCCTGCAGACTACCAGCACCTGCGTCCCCAGAGCGTGCACCAGCGAGTCGTGCTGGTTGTGGACCACCTTTGCTGGCGTGTGGGCAATGACTCACACATCCAGCGTGCCCCCCACCCCCCCAACATGCATGTGTGGGGAGAAGCCCTCATCCTTGACTCCTTCAACCTGCAGGTGAGTGGAGCTGAGGGGTGGCTTTGAGGGGGGAGGATGCTGCCTATCCACAGCTCCAGACAAGACAGATAGTGGCATGG